CTGACCATCTAATTATGAAATGAATATAAATCTACAGCAAAAAAAAATCCTCCTCGTGTTGGGAAAAAGAAAAGGCATACATTAAGAAACAAAAGCGTGAGAGTTTAAGAGATCACCAGAGAACATGTAATCTTTCAAAATGGAAAATTAGATGTCGATAAAAAGTAGAACAAAATGATGAAAGGATCAAGGAACAGTGCTACTTCTTCTTCAAGATGTGTTCTTTTTAGGGTTGAAGGATAGATGAAACCACAACCTTAGGGAGACACACAAGATTCCAAGTCTAATACGCCGAAATCAAGCGAGGGAAGTGATGCTATGACTAGTCATCAATAGAGGTCATAGAGTTCGAGATGTGTAAGATTGAGATGCTAAGATTGTGAGTGACAAAGTGAGGAAAGGAGTCAAGTGGCTGAGCATAATAACTTGAAGTCGAGAATTAGAGAGTGAGAGGCGAGAACCCAAAGAATGAGAAATGTCGATGGGCTTACCTAGGTTGCGATGATGAGCATGGACCTCAACGAAAATTAGACCAAGTAGTGGCTACCTAGCACCTACGGCAAAACAATTAGTCAATCAACCACAATGAATCATTGACAATGAGCAGCAATGAGAGGGAGCCTAAATTGCAATTTCAAGAAGGGGAGAGTGGAGAGGAAAGGAAAAGTCAAGAAAGGAGAGGTGAAGAGGAGAGAGGAGAGGCAAGTCTAGAAACTTGGAATGGAGCTTAAGGTTTTTGGCCTATTATTAGATAGTACATTTCAATAGTACAAATGGGGAAAAAAAGAGAGAATGAGGCTTAGAGGGACATGTGAGCCTATACTCATTTTTTCAGGTCTTATCAAAGCTAGATCTAGAAGCTCAGTTATCATAAAAAGGTTCCATTTCCAAAGCCCGAACCTTCATTTAAATAGAACTTTCAAACTTATATAAACCTAACCTTTATTCCCAACTCAATTGTTGTAGATCAACATGTTACGGGTTTCTAAGAGCAAGGGAGATTTCACCACTAATTCAAGTGGTGTCATTTAGAAGAAATGGGGGAAAGGAGAATTAAGAAATAGAGACATCCTTAAATTTAATTTTAATAGAAATAAATGAGATGAAACATGAGGCATAAAAAAAATTGATATATTGTGCATTTTTTGTGTAGCGTGCTAAAAATATAACAATATAAGAAACTAATTGTTTTAAAATTTATTTCATTTTATTTAGTATTTAAATTATAGTGAAAAATGTGAAGAATATTGGATGACCATTCTTCTTGTTAAAAAATGTAAGTTATTTTTTGAGGGTTGGATGTTAACAAATATAAAGATTTTAATATTTTATGGTGTAATTATTGCTTTTTTTAAAAAAATGCTCTTAATGAATAAATCACTTTATATTTAAGGGTTTTTTTTTTTAAAAATATAGCCCATGTTATAGAATTAAACCAAGTAAATAGCCCAACATTTATTATATTTTATATTATGATGAATCTATTATACTTGTTAATGGTATACTGTTATATATTAATGATGAACTTTTGATACATCAATGTCAATCAGCCCTTCTCCCAAATTTTCAAAAATTTGATCCATATTTTTTAGATACAAGATTTTTTTTTTACCAGTAAACCAATTTATCCTTATATTTATCTTAGAGTGAAACATTATATTAAATAGGGATATGTATTAAAAAATAATGTTAGTTTAAAGAGAAGAGACTACTTTATTGGAAATATTATCAAATTTGACGGGTTAGGTTAAATAAATTAGTTCATTTTTTAAAATAGGTTGGACTAGTCTAACCCTCAAAACTAAAAAGCTAAAACAGGCTAGCCCACGAGTTAGTATATTTTTTTTAAAAAAATATTTTTTTATTTTTTAATTACATTATATCTTTTTATAAATATACAATAATGATAATATTTCTCAAATATATAATTTATAACTCCCGAATATGTTCTTTATATTTGAAAGATAATATAAATCTTTCTCACAATTTGCAAATAAAATTTTTGTCATAGCTTGTAAATCAATGATTTATTAGTTTTTATATAAATATTTTAAATATATATTATTCGTTAATCTCATAAGATCTATTGATTGAAATTACAAATATAAATTCATTGAGAAAAAAATATAGATTTATATTCAAATTTTCTTTCTCAATTAAAAGATAATACACTTAGGCGAGAAGATAATTAATAGTAAAAATCTAGTAAAATGAATTTGATTGATTGAATTCTATGTTTATTTTATTTATTTACAAGTTCTTTAATTTCTAATTTGCTTTAAAATGTGAAATAAATAAACATATATTTATATTATATAAATTTAAAATTGTTAAAAAAATTGATAAATTTTTGTAGGATAGCCAGCTCGCTAAAAAATGGGTTAGGTTGGGTTTTCCAGCTCATTTTATCTGCGGGGCTGGCCCAACCTAACCCATAAAATGCCAGCCTGCACTAGCCCAGTGAGCTGGCCAGTGATTTGTTTGCCTAGTACTGCCCACAAGATTGAACAAACGTCTCTTTTCTTTTGTTTTTTGTTTTACTAACGTTTTGGAACTTTAAAGAGGTTGACTTTAAATATGTTTATTGGTGGGTTAATGAAATTTTCCCTGTATTATTTCTTGAAGATGGTAATTTTTTTAATTTTAAATTGTTATTATTAACTACCATGTATTTGTATTAAGGGTAAAGGGATAAAAATACTCATAAAGTAGTCAGCGACAGGCACCCAGTATCCTAAAGTGACAAAAAGAGCAAAAATACCCATAACATTATATAGATGGGTGCAAAAGTAACCAAACTATTAACTTTGACTTAACACCATTAACTTTGATCGTTAAATGCTAACTGTGGATGCCACATGTCAGTCTTTGCTAACGTGGACTAAAAAAGGAGCAAAAATACCCACGAAGTCATTGACGAGGAGTAAAATTACCCATAACGTTATCAGAATCGGTGTAAAAGTGATCAATACATACAATCCCTTAAATATTGACCGTTTAGTTAATAACTAAGCAAAAGTTGACTATTTTTTTTACTGATGTAGATAAAAAATATTCCTAGATAAAAATTTCTAGAAGTTAATTAGTTATTGTATGAATATCAAGTGGGAAAATGTAATTTTTACTGAATATCAAATTAAATTGCTTTTTTTTTGCAACGGTGGAAAAAATTATTTAAAATTTTTAAATTTATCGTGAATGCAATTGCTTAAGGTTGTGACAATGTTCTTAAGTTAGATGTGCTCAGTCTTAATCTTTGATTTTGAACAACCTATCTCACTATGTTAAATATCAAGTTTTACAAACAAGAAAAATGAGTGGATAGGGAGAAAGGAAGGAGGTGAGATATGTGGTGATGGAAAGAAATCATATGGTATTGATTTTAACAAATTGATTACTATTACACCTATTAAAGTAAGATTATAAGTACTCATATAATGATCAATCAACATATGTAAAAATTCATTTTCAAATATATTTTGTCTACATCAGTAAAAAAAATCAACTTCTGCTTAAGTGTCAACTAAACATTCAACATTTAAGGGATAGAATGTATTGGTCACTTTTGCATTAATTCTGATAACATTATGGGTATTTTTGCTCTTGGCTGATGACTTTGTGGGTATTTTTGCCCCTTTTTTAGTCCACGTCAGCAAAGACTGACACGTGGCATGCACTATCAGCATTTAACCATCAAAGTTAACGGTGTTAAGTTAAAGTTAATGATCTGATTACTTTTGTACCCATCCATATAACGTTCTGGGTATTTTTACCCTTTTCGTCACTTTAAGATACTGGGTGCTCATCGCTGACTGCTTTATGGGTATTTTCGCCCCTTTATCATTGTATTAATAAAATTAACAATGTTAAGGTCAGAAAATTAAAAATATATTTTATAAAATTAAAAAATTAGCTTAAAATTAAAATTTTGTGTAAAGCTAACTAATAAAAAATAATTTAAGATAAGTATAAGATAAACATATTCTCCAGTACAAATATATAATGATGTTAAAATAAATATTAAAATCTATAGGCAAAATAAATAAATAATGAGAAATAGGAGTGAGAATAGACCAGGCTTTTAACAAAGGCCTATAGTTTGACTTCCTTCAGGATCAGCCTAGCTTACTTATTAAATAGGTTTAGACTTTTAATTAAACCTATTTAGTTAAATAAGTTAGGCCTATTTTTCAAGACTTAGCCTATGAGCCCAATAGGCCGCCTATATATATATATATACATATTATGTACTATATCATAAATATATTAGTTTCACCATATACTTTTTAATTAATTTATTCTTTATTACTTCTAGTTATATTTTCAATCATATTTGACTTATATACTCTCTCCGTTAAAAAATATAAGATATTTTTAGTCAAATTTTATTCTAATAAAGTAGTTACCTACTTTCAAACTAACTCTATTTTTTTATATTTACTCGTATTAAACACCTTATAATAAATATAAAGCTATTATCAGTAAGGGTACCTTTAAAAAAAAATAATGATTACGCTTCGAAAAACAAAAAATGCTTTATATTTTTAAACATCAAATTCCTTAAAAAATGCCTTACATTTTTAAACAGAGAGAATATTAATTTTAATATTATTAGTTTATTGTTATATTATATTGTAATTAGTAAATACTTTTAATTATTATATATTATAATTAATAAATCAGATCATATATATTGTATATTTTAATTGTTCTAAAATATATTGAAGACGTTTAAAATTAAAATATAAACCTATTTAAAAGATTTTATTTTTAAGTAGATTTTTAAATAGATTTATAAATTAGGCTAAGCTTTAAGTAAGCTCAAATTTAAATCATAAAAAAAATTTACATAAATTTTGGACAAAACTCAAGTCTTTAATTTATTATATAAATTCATACTTATTTGATCAACGTTTAGCTTGATCCAGACTATTTTTACCTTTGGTGAAAAGGGCTGGAGAACGAAATAACTTGTTAATTCCATTGACCCATTGGTTTTGTGCCCCGGTTAGCGACCCTGCCTGTGCGCGCCTCTCCCAATCTTTGCCAAACCGGTAAACCCTCTCCTCTCGATCTCTTCCCAATGGCCGCCTCGTCGTCGTCCCTGTCTTCTTCGTCTTTTTCCGCCTCCAGCGATTCCTCTTCTCACCGCCGAAGACGTCGTCAACGCAGTCGCCGGGACCGAGATAAAGAAGCCCTAAAGGTCCGAAAGAAGAGTAAATCCCACTCCAAGCGACGTCGTAGGCACCACCGCTCTTCTGATTCATATTATTCATCTTCCATGTCCGACTGCTCCAGGTTGGTGTTTAAATATTGGCTGCCTTGCCTTGCCCGCCCTTCCCAATTGATCTTTGTAGAAGATTAGCTAAAGTCTAGTCCATAGCTGATTGATTTCCCGTTCTGACGATAGAGCCTATTGATAAATAAGGTGTATATCTTATGGTTGCTTTTTCAAGTTCCATTCTATTAGTGTGGCCAGGTTTGGAAATATCTTGAAACATTCGATGTACTTACGATTTCACAATACTGGTGGTGACAAAATAGTTTGGATTTATATTTTGGGAAATAACTACTGAGTGGAACTTATCTCTATTTTGAGTGGTGAAATGCATGACCAGCGAATTTCAGCTTTCTTCACGAAACGCCCAGTTGGAGGAGGTTCGAGTACCAGTCTTGGAGTGGCTGGTTCTGGTGTTGAACTAACTTATGATGTTTTAATTATATTTAATTGATTAATTCTTAGTTTATCAAATTATTAGTTAGTGGTTCAATACCGGCTGCAGAGAATTTATGGGATAGGACTACGTTCTTGGAAAGAATGTTTCTTGAAAATGCATAACGCATATTGTTGCTGGATGGGGTGGTGGCTGGGTGGCATTTTGAGGCATGTCTATTATTTTTTGGGCATTTTCATCGTCTCTGATAATATGGTCACTGCTTCCCAAATACTGTCTCTTATCGGATGTTTGAGCTAGCATGAGCGTTTACTATTTGCCTTATGCTGCTTGTCCTATTGATTCTGCTTCATATATAGATTCAAAATCAATTTTCTGACAATATAAGATTCAATTTTCCATGGGTGAATGCTTTACAGTTTGATTATATGCAGTTTTACGTCATTGATATTTAGAATTTCTGACAATATTTTGTATTTTTCATATTAGATGAGAAACTTCATTAATTTGGTTTATGCTGCCTTTTGGCTTATTTTTAATTTTCTATAGAAGTGAAAGTTCATCTGGCAGCGAGCATGATTCATCTTATCATTCAAAGAGGCACAAAAAGAATGACAGACCAAAGAAGGTGATTTGTTGTTGACTTGTTATTACAATTACAATTTTTCCCTGTCTAAAGTTTTGTTGTTCTTTAATTTAATGTTTTCCCCTTGTAGAATAAGGAAAAAGATCGAAGTAAAAGCCATAGGCATAAGAGGAAGAAGCATAAAGTGAAAGAGGTAAGTGACTTTTCACACGTTGTTTTATTTTCATCTTTAGGCCTGTTTACTACATAGTTTGACGTCTTTCATTTCATCCTTTGCCTGTTTACTGCCTTTTACTTCAACTAAACTGACAGGATACTTACTATGTTAGACTCCTCTTATTTTACATCTAGTGTTTTTACCAACTCTGCTGAATTCAACCTGCACAGTTGCTGTTGCTTGAGGATTGATACGGGGATCCTTAACACAAATTAACCAGGATTATTTAAGTTGAACTATTAATCAATGCATTTTTAATCTAGCCTCTAAATTTACTCATAACAAAATATCCTACCTTAGAAATAGCAGAAAATAGAGCATTCATTTTACTACAAACTTGCGTGTCATAATAACTTTAATTCATTAAATGTGAACATTGCTGGCCAAATAAATAAATGCGTACATTTTGTGATTCTGACTGAGATGCTAATGATACTTTCTGCCTTCCTTTTGGATTGGCTCTTTGAAATTGGAGCTGGGCTCTGTGACACGTTGTTGGGCACTTCGTTGACTTGATTGGATATTGTTTCTTGGTCGGGTTTGTCATGGCATGGGAGCCTAATATAGAAGCAGCAAGATGAGAGATGCAGCAGTCCTGTGCAGCTTTCCAAGGTTCTAATTGCAATTCTGATTCAGGAGTACAATACTCTTGCAAGCTTGCCATTGATGAGTTGACTAACTCTTCTTATGTTACAGTTTTTGGGGCGAGATAAAGATGATGGTGTCCGGCGCAGTGCTGTATCTGGCAAGAAGGTTAATAGAAAGCTGTTAGCCTGTTACAATTTTCATGAATGGCCTTGTTTAGTTTTGTCTTTCAGAGGCATTTATTTATCTGGAATCTGCTTTTTCTTCGCAGATTCTTCTGAAACTTGAAAAAACGAAGGAAGATAAGTTGGCGGAAAGCAAGAGAAATGAGCTGCTTAATTTCTTAAATGCTAGTTTTGATTAGTAACGAGAGCGGAGGATTTGCTTTGGGGATTGGATAAAAGCCAGTGAGGAACCAGGCTTACTTGGGTGCGTAAATCTTTTTAGTTTTCACGTATAAAACCAAACAAGTTACCATGGTACGACATCGTATACTTACGGTTCTTTTTTAACTTCGATGGATGGTTGATTTCTGAGGGGCCTGGGCCAAATGACAAATGGAAAGAGTCAAGCTTGGTTCCTGTGTTGTATGAAATTGTGGTTTCGATTGGAAGACTGGTTTTCAATTTGTTGAGCACTTGTGATCATTAAATTGTCCGATAGTTACTATTCTGACTGGGAATTTTCCTCACGAGCTGTCTTCAGATCGGCCTTCTCACTCACGGTGAGTAGACTGGGATAATACATGGTTACATATTTTTTTTGGGTTCATTATATATAGGAGTTTATATGTATATATATATAGTAAGGAGTTTATATGTATGCAAAAGGAAAAAGTTATATATTTAGTTTTTTATATTTAAAATGTTTGTTTTTAATTAAATCAAGATATGGAGATTTTTTATAGATTATTTATTTTATAATGTTTTTGTTACTAATATTATAAACACATTACAATTCACGTGTTTTGATTTGATTAGATAAAAATATATTGACTAATATATAAGTTTGTCTGTATATAAATATAGTATTTTGTATCATATTGCAGTGTTTTTTGTCACTATTGTGAATCAAAAATTTTGGTTCATCCATATATTTAAGTGGAAAATTTACAATAAAATCTTTACAAATTATATAAATAATAATTTAATATCTCAAGGTGTTATAATTTTATTAAAGTTTAGGGATTTTTGTGTGAATAAATTTTAATATGAAAATATTATTTTACTCTTATCAAAAATAACAAGTCTCAATTATAATTTTTATTTAAAAAATAATCACCTTTATTTTATAAATTGTAGAGCTGAATAAAAAATTATAATTTATTAAGTGCAATTCTTATTACTGAAAAATAAGTTATCAAAATATTAAGTCTTAATTATAACTCTTGTTTAAGAAATAGTAACTTTTATTCTGTAAATTATAAGAGTTGAAAAAAAAAATTATAATTTATTGAGTGTAATTTTTATTATTGAAAAATAAATTTTTCAAATGAAAAGTTTTAATTACAATTGTTATTTAAGGAATAATATTTTTTATTCATAAAATCACAAGCATTGAATGAGAAATTATAATTTATTAAGTAAAATAATTTTTTAATTTAAAATTTATTGGCATAGAAATATTTATAGAATTATGACATTTTGAATGATTAAGTTATCATTTATATAATTAAAGATAATTTTATTATCATTTTTTTTATTTAAATCTTAAAAGAAACGTGCAAATAATTGTGATTTATGAGTAAATATTAGCTTCTGAATATATAATTCAATATTTTTCAGTGATTTGTTTTGGCCTTTCTATGCTGTTATTGTGAGTAAGAAGATAATAACTGAAATTTGTGCTCTTTCCACATGAAATGATCACCCATTAGAGGCCTTTTTTTTAGGTTTTGAACGTTGCTTTAAATTTCAACAGAACCTTTTGTCATGTAATGTATGAAATAAATATGAAAAACTTTTAATCGAGGAATATAGGGCCCGTTTAGATACATTTTGAAAATCAATTCTAACTTCAAAATTATGGTTTTGAAATTTTTTATCCAAATACCCACATTTTTCAAAACCTCATTCGGCTTCCCATACTTCATTTGGAAGGAGTTGGATTTTGTTCCATTCAGAAATCCATTCAGAAATCAAAACCCCAATTTTATCAAAATCAATTTTTAAAAATTTACTCAACCATCATCACATCCTGAAAATCATTTTTTTTATAATCAAATCATTTTCAATTAAAATTCAAACGAGCATATATTCAACAAAGTTTGAAAAAAAATTAAAATTCAATAGAAGTGCAACAAAGTTTGAAAAAAAATTAAAATTCAATAGAAGTGCAGAGGATAGAGATGACAACGGCGGACGAACAAAGGTCTAATCCAAGCCTCGCTCTTTGTCTAGCTTAAAAATAGTGAATATTATAGAAAAATTAATAATGCTGATTACTTATGAATATTATAATTGATCAGACTGTAGATGAATTACATTGATGATTTAGATTTCTTGATTTTTCCTGGCTAACGGTTAAAAAAAAAACCATATAGGCGTTTAAATTATTCGATAACTTATTTATACTATAATTTATATAGATCTTCAATCCCAAAATTATTTGTACTGTTAAGAACAAGTGGCAGAGCGAGGGGGGCTGGCGGACTGATCCCCTTCCCAAATTTTCAATTTTTTTTTTTCCAATACCAGACAAGGGTTGTCCCTTGTTGAAAAATATTAATTTTTATTTCAAAAAGGGAATTGAACTCTTTATCTATTTAGTATTTACTAGTTTACATTGCTACCTATCTAAACTGCTGTTAATATTTTATTATGTGATGCTTAATATATAGAATTTTTTTATAAAATTAAAAAATGAAAAGTATAGTATACTTTTTATCAGTATTTAAAATTTGGACACTTAGACTGGTCGAACCGTCAATCGAATAAAAAAATGATTAGGTTCAACCATTTAGCCTATTTTGACAGTTAACCTAGGTTGGCCTGCTTTGATATGGGCAGTTCTTGAAGACCTGAAGTAAAAACCTGGAATGTAAAGTGGTCAAACCATTTTGACCCGTTTTTTAATATATATATATATATATATATACAAATATTCCCTTCATTTAAAAATATAAGACATTTTTAATCGAATCTCACCATCAATAGAGTAATTATCTATTTTCAAACTAACCATATTTTTTCATATTTACCCCTATAAATATCTTATAATAAATATAAAGTCATTATCAATAAGAATAATTTTAAAAAAAGGTAATGATTATATTTTAAAAGACTAAAAATACCTTATATTTTTTAATATCTAACTTCTCAAAAAATACTTTATATTTTTAAATGAAGGGAGTATTATTTTTTATTTAATTATTATATTATTAATTTAATTACTGATCTAACTAATTAAACCATAAAATTCATGACCCATCATATTTGTAATTAAACAGTGCCTCTAATTTTTGCACCATGTTATTAGAGCCTCCGGTCAGTTTCACAGTCTCGCCTATTTTATCCGGGGGGGAAAAAAAATCCTTTTTAATACGAATACTTTCAGGCTCGGGGGCCTTTACAGTAGGGCTGTAGGGGCGCTATTGTCATTTAGAAAATGACGACGTTCTCTATACAAGGGGATTTGCAATTAGGGTTACACATGTTGTGACTGCTCCTGGTGCGTGGAGACATGGCGGCCACTTTCCTCCTGCCTTCGGGTACTTACTCCTCTTCCTCAACTGAAATAATTCAGATCTCGCCACCCTCTTTGTTTTAATACAGAAGATCGCACACAGTTCTTCTTGGGAACCTTGTTTTAGACGGATGATTCCCAGGATTTTATCTGTGCGTAAAGCGAAGATCCATTCTGCTTGAGCCTTCTTCTTCGTCTATGGAGATGTGCTCCAATGTTATTGGCTCACACTTGATTACGATACTGATTTGTTCCCATATTACTCTTCATATTTTATTTTTACGTTTAAGCATACTGCACGGAGGTCCTTTTGGTTTTTTAGGTTTGCCGTTTTTGAAGAAAAAATATTTTGAAAATTGCTCCCTTTATTGATCCCGGTTGCATTTTTTTTTTTTGTTTTACAATTTTTCAGTTGGACGGAAATAGCATCCGCTCCAGTACTTGATGGATCGGTTCATGTGGAATGCACGGGTTTTTTCATCTCACCAATGCAACCCATGAGTTGAGGCTGAGAATGGGCCCACAAGGAAACGTGGCTAAACTCAGTTGAGAGTTCAGACTTGAGAATCTGTGACAGAAAGCAATGAAGCAAAGGCTGGACGGAAACTAGTTCCCTGAATGCAATGAAAGTAGATGCAAGTGTGAATGCTTCTACGCAATGTGGGAGAGGGAATGCATCTTATGGGACATGCTCATTTCAGTTGAGCCTAAAATTAATTGGACCAGTGCAGACAGTTTAACGTTTCAGTGAATACACAATGTTACTTCCATCTAATCAAAGTCACCCCTGATCTTGATCTTATTCTACTCAACCATGCTTTGGGCAGTTGTTTGTTACTCCCACAATCTACGCTCCCTGGCGGACTAGTTTTGACGTTGTCCTCGGAGGCTTGCCGCTTTTGTCACCAAAACATAATTGAGACAGAAATGTGTTGCATAAACAAAACTTTCCCTTTTCCCTCTTAGCTAGCTTCTGATTTAAAGTCTTTCTCAAGGCATTTTCCAGTATTCGTAAGAATCTTTTATCATTTGAAGGGTAAGTATAAAATAAAAAATAATATTTTAACATAATTTATTTTTGTGTACTTGTAATATGTTACTTCAATCGAAATTTAAATTTAAATAAAAATTTATTCTATTTTGAAATTTGTTTTGCACAAATATATTAAAGATATAAATAATAATTTATTTTTATTTTAAATTGTTATTCTCATAATGGATTTAAGAAGGCAATAACTACATTTGTTGTTAAAATTGTGTTGAAGAATAAATTTTTTGTTAAGTTCTATCTTATAATTAATTGAAGAAAAAAATTTACTCTCCAACAAATATTATTAGATTTGTCACTATTTGCTTTGTCTAGATTTCTAAGCAACAATTCCTATTTTATAATATATTGCTCTCGAGCATACTAAAAATTATAAACATTTTTTCAATTTAGAATATCATACAAAATAAAATTAGCTTATTTTCTTTAAGAATTTGTAGGTCAATGCATAGTGAGAAAAATAAAACATCATAATGAATCACACGCTATAATTTATGTCATAATAGTATTTACAAATCATAAGTATAGCCAAAAGTAAAAATAAATATTAATAATGATTTTAAAATAAGCAAGCAAAATAGCCAATATTATATTAGTATTTAGTAATCATACATATGCCTATAAGGATAAAAACTATTTTGTGAGTTTTTAGTTTTTATTATGTTTGTTTAAACTTTTAAAAATAATTAAAATCCAAAAAATATATATTTTTGATTATTTTAAAATAACTTTTAAAAATAATCTAATGTAATAGATGAGAGAGGGTGTGTCTTAATACGTGAATGTATCATAAAATTTTAAAACAATATGATGATAAATCATTTTTATGAAATAAAAATTAAGGAAGATATAAAATTTAAAAATAGAAAATTAATAATTATTATTGTAACCAAATATAAAATAGTGTTTGTTTTTCATAAAATCTCTATAAGATAAATCTCTTTTTATAAAATTTTTAAACTACCTAAAATTATTTATCTTTTAATTTTAAACAAAATAGGCCCTAAATTTGAATTATAGGTTTTCAAGTTGTGATATACTTGTATATATTAATAATAAATATGTTACCCCATGCATATTAAGAATATCCACTGTAATTTTTCTTATTCTAACATATACTATTTTATAATTTGTTACTCCTGTGTATCTGAAAAATATAATAAACAATTTGTTATTCTATGATGTGTTATTCTCACATAAATTTAAATTTAAATAACGGTATATTCTACCTTATATTTTGTTGTTTTGAAATAAAATTATATTTTATAATTAAAATTTTCAGATTATGTATTATTGTATATAAATTAAAATTTAAATAACTGGTTATATTTTATTTTTTTCTTGGTACGTGTTAAAAACATAAATAACATTTTTTTATATTAAAAAATTGGAATTAAATTTTCTAAAGTTGATATGCGTAAATTTCATTGAAGTTTTCTTTTTTTAAAAAAAAATTTAAATTTTATTATTTTTTATAAAAATATAAAATGCTTTCCTTTCTTCCTTTGAAAAGCAAACTTCGCATAAATTTACAGATATCAATTTCAAAAGATTTAAATCCTGAACAATTATATATACAAATTTGTTACCTATGTAAATTAAAAATATAAAAAATAATTTATTATTTCTATATATGTTATTCTCATGTAAATTAAAATTTTAAAAATAAAACATTCTATCTTATAATTTGTTATTTAACATTATATTTTCTTGTACAATTTATTATTTTATACCTATACAAAGTATAAGTAACAAATAATATATCTCATACCTACCGTTTTTACTATAAATATTATATGTGCTATTAAATTTTTTAACATGGAGCCCGCATTTATTTTTTCTATTATGAGGCTCAAATGATATTTTAACAGCACATAACATTTTGATATACAAAATATTTTTTTAATGTCATTATTACTTTTCATTCAACTGAAGACGTTGTGCTTTGTGTGTGTGGATTATATATTGCTAAACTGAAAAAGGTCTACTTATCCAAAATATAATATAAATATATACTGCTTTTACTTTTTCAATCTAGCCCCTTGTCCTTTTGTTCATTGCTTGCCGTATTTAATGTTGGGAATTCGGATGAATTTGCCTATTCAAGCTGGACCTGAACATGCCCGGTTCTTTTAAAAGCTTAGTTAAATTTAATTTAAATATTTATATTTTATTTTTAAAATTATTTTTAATTATTTTTTATTTTAAAATTAATTATTTTATTTTCAAATATTTTTATATTTAAATGATGAATAGAACTTAAATATATGAATTTTAGTATAAAATGACCTAAAACTTAAAGAATTAATTAATATTTATCATATTTTGTAAAAATAAAAAAAAAATTATTCGTGTGTTCGGGTCAAACCCGAACTCAATCAAGCTTGACCTGAATAAGCCCGAACATAAACATATCATATTTTTTTTAAGTTTGGCCCTATTTTTTTTTTTGATGAGATTGGGTTAGTTCATCGAGCTCGACCTAAATAATCGGATCTAACCATATTATGTTTGATGGGAATTTGAACTTGAAGGAAATTTTAAAGAAATATGAATTTCAATCGCACCAAAGTTGTTTACAAGTTTTTAATTCCTATACAACACTTTATAGTTAAAACTAATTCTAGTGAATGGTAATATTTAAAAAATATATACTCATATTTTTCCAAAGTGTAAGAATACCAACTAATCCTGTTGGCCAAAAGAACACAAACTGCTTTTTTTGGCCAAGAAGCAATCAACTTCCATTAAAACGACGCAAGTTCAAAGGAGATACATCAAGAAGCTAAGAAAACAGGAAAAACCAAAACCAGCAACAGTGAAAATAACAGCAAAGCCGTGAAAAAACGAAACAGCCAGAAGGGAGAAGCATCACCCAATCCCCAGGCGAATCGGCGATCACCCGCATGGGAGGACTCTGCACTTCTGCTACGTCTCAATAATCGTGAAGGAATTAATTTTACCTCATAATTCTGGGGGAAAACAATTTATATGTTGTGTGTGCAAGTAATAAAAAAGTTAAATTTTAAAAAATTATGAAATTCCAGGGAAAAATACTAAATATACACTGTAAAAATAGCCCGTGTTTATAATAAGCTAGTGATTTTCTTAAAAAAAGTATTAACTTATCAAATATATATTTACTACATATCTCATCTACTATATAGGAAAAATGATAATAAAATTTTACTAACATATATAATTAATAATTAAGTCCTTTAAAATATCATAATTCTTCTTATTTAAAATAAAAAAAAACAGATTCACAGGAAAAATTATAATTTATTGTTCAACTTTTACAATTCAAAAAATAAAAGCTATGATTGTTCAAATAAAAGTTGTAATTGTTATTTTCAAAACTTAAATTTCAATGATCAAAGAAATTTCATGTAAAAAATTTTGATTTCTTGTTCATTATGATTTACATGATAAAAGTTGTGATTGATTATTTTCACAATTTAGACTTCAATAATAATAAAAAAAATCATGTGAATAGTTGTAATTTTTTGTTTAATTTTTGTAATTTATAGAATTAAAGTCATGATTGGAATTAGTTATTTTTAAAACTTATTTATCAATCATAAAAAAAATTATGTGAAAAAATGTTATTTCTTATTTAATTTTTATTATTTATAGAATAATAGTTGTTATTGCTTAACCAAAAGTTATAATTAAAAAAATGGAGCCAGGCTTATTATTTTTATTTTAAATAAGGACAATTTAGTCATTTAACTTAAAATCATTAATAAAAAAAAGGTACTCAAAAACTTCAAAAAACTATAATATTTTAAAAAACCTAATTATTATTTATATATTTTAATAAAATTTTATTATCATCTTTCTTATTATATAAGTATTAGCAATGAATAAAATAGAGAAAAGTCATAAAAAAATAAAAGAAAAGTCATGATTTAGATGCTTGAAAGCGGCAAGCCAGCACAGCAAAATTTGTATTCATATTAGGTGAGAATGAACTACTAAAATTGCCGGATCAGCAGAGATTTACGCGGGCCCGGTTCTCGTGATCCGACATTTTTCATGGAGGACTCTTGGGGGCCGGAGGGGGGGATACACTTAAAGTTAAAACCTATAATCTGAAATGTCTCTGCTGAGAGCCCTTATTAAAATATATTTTCATTTAGGTCCTCGGCTTCTGGAGACATTTCAGATTATATGGAATTTTAAGCATAAATTTTTCTCTCATAAAAACCTTTGGTGTAATTCTTCTCTCTCTCTCTCTATTTTTTTGGTGGGCGACCAGGTTGACAACTTATCATGCCAGGCATTATTGTCCCAAAAAACAAAATCATTCTGCCCCTAGAATAATCCGAATTTTTGGTGGCAGCATCAAAATTTTTGTCTTTTCAACAACGCCGACCAAATTTGAAATTCCCACGTTGTGATGCTTCTGCACCTGTAAAATAAAAGACTATATTTAATTTATTATACATATTTGCCAATATTACGATGGAGGTTCTTTTTTAAAATAAAACAAAATATTTCTAACACCAAAAGAACATGCTCATATTTTTCTGTTATGCGTTGCATTGTACAAAGGCGTTTGTGGCCATGCCCTCTTCATTCCCAAACAATTGATGTATAATTTTTTAAATAAATTTATCCTTCAATAAATATAAAATTTTTGCTGGAAACTATAATAAATAAGCTTGATTAAGAATATTATTATATCTTAGAAAAATAATATTATTTTGGATGGGAGAGGGTTTTGTTTTAGACAAATGGAAGGCATTGCATATTTGCATGCAGGTGAAATGTTTGTTTTTTTATTTTCAAAAATAAAAGCTAAGACCCATGAGCTTTATAGGATGTGTTTTATCTGAAAAATTTCTTATTTCCACAACATAGAAAAATTATTGATTATTACCAATTAGAATTAAAAAGAATAGTAGAGACTCTCGTTGTTTCAAATATGTGGTTGAGAGTTTGATATTCATGACAATTTAATAGGAAGAGATTGACATATTACTCTCAATACCCAAAAAGAAATCATGAATTGTTGAATTTGATAGGTCAAATATAAAATTAATTTATATTATTAAAAATTAATTCAAACAATCCAAAATT